TGTATCCTGTGGGAATAATAAAAAGGCAAAGTTGATTTTTAACTCAAAAGAAGAAAAAACCGTTGGGACTCCATATCTGTATGTATCCGTAAATAGCAATGGCCATGCTTGAATTGTGGCCTCATCGCTCTGAAAAGGAAACCGTTGCATTTTGCGGCTCCGTTTCCACGTGGTAACGGCGGTGATGAAGCCAGCGGAGGAGGAAAGGGAAAGCCAGGAGCCGCCGGCGACGGTTGGCATCGTCACCGGGGACACAGCGGCCTGTCGCTGTCAGGGTGTACGCCGACGGCATCAACGATCTCTTCCACTTCGGCCATGCTCGCGCGCTCGAACAGCCCAAGAAATCGTGAGAGCTCTCCTCCCCTTCCTGCTTTCACAGTTGCAAACCTCCTTCGGTTCTGAATTATGATGTCCTTGTTTGCAACTCTTGTCTCTCTCATTGAAGGTGGGTCGACCAAGTTATACCTGATGCTCCCTGGGTTATCAACCAGGAGTTCCTCGGCAAGCATTGCATCGGCTACATCGCGCACGACGCGCTTCCGTCAGTATATACTTATTTATATGTAACAAATACCACCTATCCACTTTGCATACTTCCAAATCATCTACTCCCTCTGTTGCTAAATACTATAAGTCTTTCTAGAGATATCAATGCGCACTACATACGGAGCAAAATGAAGTGAATTGTGAAAAACCACCACATTAAAGCGTAGGTTTGCAGGAAAGACTCTTCTACAAATTTGTGCCAAAACACTGATTTTAGTCCTAACCTTTTGCAAAAAACACTGATCAACCGTTTTATGCATTTTAACCTTGATTATGACATGTGGGGCCATGGTATTTTTGCATAGTCACCATTCGGGTAAAAGTACAAAACGCAATCAGCTCCTCGTCGCCGGCCTGCAGCAGAGGCATCGGCGCTCATGGTCCTCGTCGCCAGCCATGGCCACACCGTCCAGAGGTGGGGAAGGCCAACTCCACCGCACGACCCTAAATCTATACCCATTTTATCCGGATTTTGTCCGCATGGGGTAGAAATAGGGAGAACAAACGCCGGACAGAGGCCGCACAAACTCGCTGCACGCAACGCTACTACCCCATTTTCACCCCATACGTCGTGGTCGTGGATGCACGTGGTGGGCCAGGTACAGAAAAGGAGAGAGTGACATGTGGGGTCGAGGCGGACACAGACGGACGACAAGGACGCGAAGACGTCCGCTTTCTGTTCGCTTTGGCCCCAAACCGAGAGCAACTTTGGTCTAGAAATGGGGCGAAAGCGGACACGGGCCGGACAAAACGTCCGTATGCTCCCATGCACTGGGTCGTTTGATTTGTCCGTTTTACCCCAAACGGACACAAATGGACGATTTGGGGTAGAAATGGGTCACGCGGTGGAGTTGGCCGAAGAGGTTGGCTCGTCGCCGTTGGCCGGTGGTGCCGCATGTGGTGGGACGAGCACCAGAGGACGAGGCGGTGGCTGGTTCATGCACGCGGCAGCGCTGCTGGCTTGGAGTCGCCATGCACTTGGTACCGTCGGCCACCGCGCGCTCACCGTTGAGGTCGCTGCTTGCTGCAGCTTGCGCGCCGCCGTCGCTGCTTGTGCCGAGCTGCGCGGCACCGCTAGTGCTTGCTTCCCTGGGAGGTCTGGGTCAAGGGCGCCGCCGCCGCTGCTTCCTCTGCTGGGAGGGCGGGGTCAAGCACGCCGCCACTTGTGCCCGAGCTGTGCGTCGTCGGCGCCGCTTGCTCCGTCGGGAGGCAGGGGTCGCGCCCGAGCTGCCTGCCACCGCTTTTTTTTGGGGGGGGGCCTTAAAATCTCGTCCTTTTTAGCAATGCAATGCAATTTTTCTTACTCTTTACATTATGCTATGAATCTCATTGAAGGTGGGTCGACCAAGTCATACCTGATGCTCCCTGGGTTATCAACCAGGAGTTCCTCGGCAAGCACTGCATCGGCTACATCGCGCACGACGCGCTTCCGTCAGTATATACTTATTTATATGTAACAAATACCAACTATCCACTTTGCATACTTCCAAATCATCTACTCCCTCTGTTGCTAAATACTATAAGTCTTTCTAGAGATATCAATGCGCACTACATACGGAGCAAAATGAAGTGAATTGTGAAAAACCACCACATTAAAGCGTAGGTTTGCAGGAAAGACTCTTCTACAAATTTGTGCCAAAACACTGATTTTAGTCCTAATCTTTTGCAAAAAACACTGATCAACCGTTTAATGCATTTTAACCTAGACTATGACATGTGGGGCCATGGTATTTTTGCATAGTCACCATTCGGGTAAAAGTACAAAACGCAATCAGCTCCTCGTCGCCGGCCTGCAGCAGAGGCATCGGCGCTCATGGTCCTCGTCGCCAGCCATGGCCACACCGTCCAGAGGGGGGGAAGGCCAACTCCACCGCACGACCCTAAATCTATACCCATTTTATCCGGATTTTGTCCGTATGGGGTAGAAATAGGGAGAACAAACGCCGGACAGAGGCCGCACAAACTCGCTGCACGCAACGCTACTACCCCATTTTCACCCCATACGTCGTGGTTGTGGATGCACGTGGTGGGCCAGGTACAGAAAAGGAGAGAGTGACATGTGGGGTCGAGGCGGACACAGACGGACGACAAGGACGCGAAGACGTCCGCTTTCTGTTCGCTTTGGCCCCAAACCGAGAGCAACTTTGGTCTGGAAATGGGGCGAAAGCGGACACGGGCCGGACAAAACGTCCGTATGCTCCCATGCACTGGGTCGTTTGATTTGTCCGTTTTACCCCAAACGGACACAAACGGACGATTTGGGGTAGAAATGGGTCACGCGGTGGAGTTGGCCGAAGAGGTTGGCTCGTCGCCGTTGGCCGGTGGTGCCGCATGTGGTGGGACGAGCACCAGAGGACGAGGCGGTGGCTGGTTCATGCACGCGGCAGCGCTGCTGGCTTGGAGTCGCCATGCACTTGGTACCGTCGGCCACCGCGCGCTCACCGTTGAGGTCGCTGCTTGCTGCAGCTTGCGCGCCGCCGTCGCTGCTTGTGCCGAGCTGCGCGGCACCGCTAGTGCTTGCTTCCCTGGGAGGTCTGGGTCAAGGGCGCCGCCGCCGCTGCTTCCTCTGCTGGGAGGGCGGGGTCAAGCACGCCGCCGTTTGTGCCCGAGCTGTGCGTCGTCGTCGCCGCTTGCTCCGTTGGGAGGCAGGGGTCGCGCCCGAGCTGCCTGCCGCCGCTTTTTGGGGGGGGGGCCTCAAAATCTCGTCCTTTTTAGCAATGCAATGCAATTTTTCTTACTCTTTACATTATGCTATGAATCTCATTGAAGGTGGGTCGACCAAGTCATACCTGATGCTCCCTGGGTTATCAACCAGGAGTTCCTCGGCAAGCACTGCATCGGCTACATCGCGCACGACGCGCTTCCGTCAGTATATACTTATTTATATGTAACAAATACCACCTATCCACTTTGCATACTTCCAAATCATCTACTCCCTCTGTTGCTAAATACTATAAGTCTTTCTAGAGATATCAATGCGCACTACATACGGAGCAAAATGAAGTGAATTGTGAAAAACCACCACATTAAAGCGTAGGTTTGCAGGAAAGACTCTTCTACAAATTTGTGCCAAAACACTGATTTTAGTCCTAATCTTTTGCAAAAAACACTGATCAATCGTTTTATGCATTTTAACCTTGATTATGACATGTGGGGCCATGGTATTTTTGCATAGTCACCATTCGGGTAAAAGTACAAAACGCAATCAGCTCCTCGTCGCCGGCCTGCAGCAGAGGCATCGGCGCTCATGGTCTTCGTCGCCAGCCATGGCCACACCGTCCAGAGGGGGGGAAGGCCAACTCCACCGCACGACCCTAAATCTATACCCATTTTATCCGGATTTTGTCCGTATGGGGTAGAAATAGGGAGAACAAACGCCGGACAGAGGCCGCACAAACTCGCTGCACGCAACGCTACTACCCCATTTTCACCCCATACGTCGTGGTCGTGGATGCACGTGGTGGGCCAGGCACAGAAAAGGAGAGAGTGACATGTGGGGTCGAGGCGGGCACAGACGGACGACAAGGACGCGAAGACGTCCGCTTTCTGTTCGCTTTGGCCCCAAACCGAGAGCAACTTTGGTCTGGAAATGGGGCGAAAGCGGACACGGGCCGGACAAAACGTCCGTATGCTCCCATGCACTGGGTCGTTTGATTTGTCCTTTTACCCCAAACGGACACAAACGGACGATTTGGGGTAGAAATAGGTCACGCGGTGGAGTTGGCCGAAGAGGTTGGCTCGTCGCCGTTGGCCGGTGGTGCCGCATGTGGTGGGACGAGCACCAGAGGA